GGATTGCTCGTATCCGGTGGCAACACCATGTAAGTGATCCTGATGTGCGACAGCATGTGTTTACACATGATGGAGAGATCGTCATTCAATAGGGGAGGTTATCTAGAGACACCGGCTTCGGTGACTTCGATATGTGTTACGCATGTCGTCCAAACGGCTTCCACGCCGTTCATTGTTTGCTAACCCTGGGACTAGATGGAAGAAGTAGAGGCGTGGTTAGTGTATGACATGGCGTCGTTAGAGGAAGTATAGTTGTATCGGATGAGCATGCGTCGATGCATCTCGACTCTCTGAATGGGGTCTGAGAGACCACGCAACTCAGTGGCTCGAGACGTTATCAGATGTGGCTCATGCTGTGGCTTCCTCCTATCTTCTGTTGCTGAGAAGTAATGAATGTTTCGTTTCGAGCGTACCTTACTGGACTATTCTTCTAATCACTCTATTCTTATTGTGTTTTTCTTTCTTACTTATCCACTTCCCTTTGCTTTAAGTTTTCATAGTGTTATATTATATATATGCACCAGAATGAAAGACAAAAATAAGAAAGAAAAGTATTGTCAGAAACAGTGGACAGTCGTAGTATGAGTGATTGATTCTGATCCCACCACTTATGTCAGTTGCTCCATCGACCCCAACTGTTTTATCTGTATGTCCTTACATGCCTGAGATAAACAGTCAGATATTTAGTGGGCTGATGCCGCTTTTTAGTCAACTAACATTACACGCCGGAGCAGACAGTGACCAGGCGTGCATAATAGATGTACCAACCGTCAGAGTCGATGGAAGTCGACATCCACATGAAATGACTTACTTCTTTTACCTAACATTCTAATTGAAAGGTTGACGACAAAGTAAAACATTATGAAATCTCCATCCAAAGTCAACATCCTAATCTTGATCGAAATCATTTATTCGATTTTTCACATGTTCATAAGATCACTAACTATTTCACAATTGCATACATTGGCGAAGAGTGTTCTAATGTCCATTTGGTCGATTAGTTTAGGCAGTGGATATTCAATGAAGCGAGTTTCGAACCCGAATTCATCAGCCTCTGCTAGCGCTTTAGTACTATCGAACAGCGTTATTATTAACCCCTAGCAAGTATATGTTACTTTTAGCTGTATATATGCTTATCGAGGGAGATGTGTTCCAAGGTTCAAATGTTTACATCGCAACTATGAATCTCCGGAATGGGAAGCGTTTTTCTTGTCACTTTTAGTCACACAGGCAATATGTTCTTTTCTGCTCAATAGACTTTGTATACATGTGTAAACTATCTGCCTGAATTTCAGAGAGATAGTAAGAGCTAAGACTTAATTCCTGCTCCATTCACAGCATGTAACTGAAAATGACGTGTGTCATTCCGTTTTGTGTACTACTTGAAGCATGCGGGTGGTTGACACTTTCGGCTACATACACAGTGGGAGGCTAGTTCTTCTTGAGGTACCCGAAGAAAAGGGATAATGTGGGATTGGCATGCCGCAAGGGGGTGCGAGTGTGCCATCTTTGGGGCCGACCTTCTCTAACCCTACCCCTATTCCTGTAGGTAAGATAGCATCAGCGTGACGCTGCTGGTCATTCAAGGGAAAAAAACGCCTTACTGCTGTCACACCCCACTTAACTAGCAGTAGTATGAATTCGCTCTGAGACTCACATCATAGTGCTGCAATTCGCACCATAATGGTAACTGTTTTTTGTCTAACCACTACCTAACAAACCTTTGTGGTATGTTATGACCTCTAACCATAAACCATTAGGGATGTAGCAAGTAACTATGAGGCCTCACGCAGTTAGTGTAGCTTATAGCGTTATTACGTTATTGGCTGTTACCAGTCTTAGGTCTCCTTGCCTTTAACCGTTTTCCAACCCGTACCTACTTCCACCAACATTGCGCGATGGAGCAGACAGTGAGGGACTAGACATGCATAACAATTGTATCAACTGTCAGAGTCGATCACAATCGCATCAATTCACTGAATCTCTTTTGCCTAAAATTGTGATTGAAATGTTGATGATAAAGTAGAACGTTATCAAATGTTTACATCCAGAGTCAAGATTTTTTGTTGTGTTATTTGGCATGCGTTTCACTGGCACCTGTCAAATGTAATATGATGCTCCAAGGTTGGTCTAGAATTACTCACAGTTTAAGGATAGGGAGTGAAGCGGCGGAATGTGTCGACTACTTCACTTTTATGGCGAGTTGCATCAGCCCAAGCGAGTTGGTTGCTGACGAAATGTCAGCTCGAGTAGGAAAGACCCATTTGTCATTTGCGAACAAGCGTTATCTGTGGCGCCGACTGAGGAAACATTAGACTATCTATCAAAGTACGAGTATACTGCACTGCAGTCCGTTCCTTCCTGTTGTACAGGTGTGAGACAAAGTTGTTCAAAGTAGAAGAAATGAAGTGATTACTAGGTTTTGACCATGGGTGTGTTCGTAGCACTGCTCGCGTTTGGTGGAAACATCGTATGAGCAGTGTCGAGTACTGAGTAAGTTGACTGGATGAGGTTATGAAAGTTCATCAGGTGAGATGGCTTGGTCATGTACTACACATGCCAGACCACCGCCACCTACTTCAATGTGCTATGCTAGGGGAAGTTGGATTAGGTTAAAAGAGGGTTGAAGGTAGCCAGACGAAAACGGTGCACCAGTCCATGAAGTTTCTGACAGCTGGGAGAGATGTAGGTTGGGGTCCCCGAGACGAAAGAAATCAGTGGTTGACATGGAGGGGTACAGGAGATGTATTCACTCCCTGAAGTTTTCTAAGGCTTGAATATTTACACTATCCTTCATCTTTAAATCATTGTTTCTTTCACACAACTTTGTCTACTTTGTTATAAGTGTAAAACTTGGGCACTGTGGTCGATTGTATTTCTATTTTAGTCTGTTTATTAGAAATATCATACAGTGAAGGAACAGTAGCATTTACTGGATAGCCAGGTTTCGGACACAATTTATTGTCCATATTCATATCAGCAACTTCGACACAGTCTTTATATATTCCTAATTCTTTCTCTCCTTCTCTGTCATGACAAGAGTAGTAGAATTTTCCATATATCTGGGACAGGTGCAGAATCATTTCGTTTGCCGCATGTATTCGGTGTTGATTCGATAAACAAAAATTCAGTCGGTTATCAATATCTCCCTCCCTCCACCCAACTAAGTTGGTTTTCAACACTGTCGCCCTATCCTACCTTTCTGTGTGATTGTGTGTCATCGCATGCAGAGCTATGCCCAGGCGAGCTTTTCTCTAGATTTCTTATCTTATTAGGATCTATTGATCATGATTTAGCTAAGTTTTTGTGCTCTGTTATTCTAATCGACCGTGCCTGGTCGACTGACTGTTTTGACCTATGTACTTGACCTCGCAATCATTGCAAGGGATCTGGTAAACCAGATTATTTTGCTCAATTGCATCGATAGGGTCTTTTGATCTTCAAAGATTGCTTGTTTCTAAGTGAGTTTGTTGGTTTGAATGCCATTTTCATCCCAGCCAGCCTTTTTGAGAATTCTTCGTAGTGCTTCTGAGGTGCCTTCCTTATATGGTAATACAGCAGAGGCTTTGAATTCTCTCCTAACCCTATCGGTATTATCACCACCGTTAGTAGTGGGATTATTATTAATAACATCTGTATTACTACTACTACTACTACTACCACTGCTAATATTTTTCTTTCGATTTCTTATGAATTTATATATAAATTTTGTTGGATAATTATTGAGACGTGGGGCATTCTCGATGTGTCTGATTTCTTGTCACAGATTTTCCGACCCACTAGTAAGCTTTCTCGCTCTATCACTTAAGCATTTAACTAGGCCTCCTTTAACTGAAATGGGATGGGATGATTCGAAGTCTAAGTAGCCATTCGAATGGGAAGGTTTCCTATAGACACTAGTCTCTAGATTTCCTTCTTGTGTTCGTTTAATCTTACAATCCAACATTGCTAGGTCACCTTCTTCACTTTCAAAGTCACAGGTGAATTGGACTGCATTCAATACTGAATTTATATTGTACCAAGAACCTATTGATATGTTCCGATTTCAGTACTGTAAACGTATCATCTGCATATCGAAACCATATTTGTGGAGTAGGACTAAATGTTTGAAGAGCCACCTGTTCCCAACTATCCATAAATATGTCTGCGACGATAGGGGATATTGTTGATGCCATGGCAACACCTTCAGTTTGTTTATATATTTTATTTTGAAACTTAAAAACTGCAGATGTTAGGCACAATCGTACTGCTAGTATGATTTTCTCGATCGGCAGCTTAGTTCGCTGTGTAAGTTCTTTGTCATCTTTAAGCCCATTTCGAACTGCCTTCAGAGGCATGTCAATTGGTATGTTTGTGTAACCACTTTTTCACTGTCGTCTAATCCTATGCTTTAAGTCATAAGAGTTGGTAATTTGAGACTTTAAGTGATTTCTTATTGGACCTAACACCATTGCTAAATATTTAGACAACTCGTAAGTTAGAGTGTTTCTAAAATCTACTCTAGGCCTGATGGGATAACCTGGCTTATGAATCTTAATAGTACTATACATTCTACTGGGATTATTAGTTATCGGCATTAAATTAAACCACTTTAACTCACCTAGAAAATGGCTTCATCCGGTATATCAGATCCGCTATCGATTTCTTGACCTTATTCATAATAGTATCCATTGTCTTCTTAATTTCTTCATATAGTCCTATATGCTTGTTCACCTTACAGATGTAGTCAGATTTGTTCATCACAACTATTGAGTTGCGATTTGGCAATTACTATATTGTTATCATTTTGATGGTTCGTGAGAGCTTCCCTCTCTGACTTGGGTAAATTAGATTTCACTGTCTTCTATCGTCTTCTGTCTACTTTGATATCTCTATATCTTTGTCCATGTAGTGCTGTCTTGTCTTATCTCTTTTTAAAGTCTCAGGAACTGGTTCTTTTTCTGTTATTTAGTCTACTCATCAATTTCACTTTTTGTCATCCGCCATTATTATTATTATAGGTTAAAGAAATTCATGGTTTAGGCACTACAATCGATGCAATTATTGTTAATGGCCGATTACATGAAGGTGATACTATTGTTTTAGCTGGTCAAGAAGGTCCTATCTGTACACAAATTCGTGGTATACTTCAGCCTGCACCTATGTCTGAGCTTCGTGTCAAAGGAACCTACACTCATTTAAAGGAGGTTCAAGGAGCTCAAGGTGTGAAATTAATTGCCAAGGATTTAGAGAAAGCATTAGCTGGTCTACCACTTTATGTGGCGAATGGATTATCAGAAGAATTGTATTACAAGGTTAGTTTGTATAGATTAGTGAATATAACATTGATTTTCTAATGGATGAGTTGACCCCATGTTTTCTTTCCTTCCTCCCCCCCCCTTCTAGTGATTATTATCATTCATTGCTGACTGTACAGGTGGCGTTTGTGTCATGTGAATAACAATAATGAAGGTTATACGGTTGCTGTACACATTTTATTCCATTTAGAATTTGTCAACTAAATTTACCTGTATCTTAGTGTGTTGATGTTACTCCAAACCAGTTGAAACGTCAGTGACTGATCGATTCGATCCAGCGGAATCGACAAAAAGAGACACTTCACTGAAATCCTCAAATTATTTGTAAACAACACCTGTATCCACCTGATCCATATAATGAATGCAACATTAGTCTCTACTCTGACTACTGATCGAATTTCACCTGATACTGAGTAATAATTAAAAGTGGAATGAAAATTTTGGACTACGGCGGGATTCGAACCAGAAACCACTTGGTTACCGACCCAGTAGTCTATCAACTACGAGCTACAAGACGCGACTGCTCATGCGATTAATTCAAAAGCCAGAAAAAACAATGCTCTAGCCAACATATAACCGATGATATCATGTATTGACTGCTGTTTTTTATCAAAATATAGCCTACTTTCATTCCTTACAAGAAGAAAATAGAACATCAGTGGCCAATGGTTAAGGCCGAACAGAAATAGTCATAGCATAGATGTTTACAAGCTGTCAGTAATTGTGACAACAAAAGTAATCATCAAGATATTTAGAAACTTAGCATTGAATAAGTAGGTCGGTAATAAGCAAACACTATTATGAGTTAGGCTCATTATTTAGTTAGAATTAAATTTTGAGGGGGTTGTGGAGATTTGTAAATATTTTAAGTTGTTATTCATTGTAGACTGACATCAGTTGGAGGAACAAAGGAAACCTGGGAGCACTGGACAGCTGTTTCGTCCTAGTATGGGACTCCTCAGCAGTGCGCACCCACGACCCCACCAGCAGGGATCGAACCCGCGACCTTCAGGTTCCGCGACCAGCGCGTTACCATTGAGCCACTGGGTCAGAATCCAATGCTCAATATTTCCAACTTCTGTTAGCTCACGATATAGCGCAAACCGCCACCCAATGTCATCGTTGAGTATTTGTCCTCACGGCCATCAGGCTTTGACTCCACTTCAATGGTAACGCGCTGGTCGCGGAACCTGAAGGTCGCGGGTTCGATCCCTGCTGGTGGGGTCGTGGGTGCGCACTGCTGAGGAGTCCCATACTAGGATTTAGTTAGAAGTTGACTTCAAAGACTAACCAATCACATTCTTCTATTCTAGGGAAAAACTACCCTCCGAGTTGAAATACTGAAATTTGATTGGTTAATTTAACATTTGCCTAAACCTGGCTTTCATATTTTTCAATGTTTGGAAAATGGATTTATTCTTCTTTATTTCTTATAGGAAGAAGTATGTCATGGTTTGAAAAGCGCTCTAAAGGCTATATCTGTCACTCCATTGGGTGTGTATGTTGTCGCCAGTACACTTGGATCATTGGAGAGTTTATTGGTTTACTTAAAATCCATTGATATACCAGTAAGTCTATCTCTGTGTGTGTGTGTGTGTATGTGTTACTTGTCTTCCATGCTTCTGATTGAAAAGTTGAACAATCCATGTAGAAAATCATATGCTCAACAGTGAAATATGACCGTTTACTTCATAGAGATGGTAAGTGACCACCGATAAACCTTTCGAGTTCAATAAAAACAAAAACAACTTCATTTGGCTTTTACCAGCTTACATTGTCTGTTATTATATTCAGATATCCGATTGGTGGATTAAGGGTCGAGTGTACTGCTGTGTGGTACATTCACTTTGTTCTACTATATGACTGTGAAACATACCGATTAAAGGTAAAGGCTTTAGGTGTTTGATCCATCATCACCCTTGTATCATAGTGTCACCATGATAGTAACATAGAAGTCTGGTTTATGATTATGAACCTTTTTTTGACTCTGACAGCTGTGAAATGTGTTATATATCCCGAGCAATAGCTGCTATCTTGATGTGGAGGTTGGGCTTGTATATCACAATGACCCAACGAGCTGTACTGGTGGAACGTTTTTTCCCCTTGAGATTATAACATACTACAAAGGTCTGAGAGTGAATTCGTATTGCTACTAGTTAAATGGGGTGTGATAGTAGTAAGATGTTTCCTTTGAATGACCAACAGTGTCACAATGATGCTGCTTTCCCTACTGGAAGAGGAGGTTGGGAAGCGTTGGCTTCCAGGATAACACACTCTCTTCTACGCAGCAACATACCGATACTGGCGATATAGATTCATACTTGAAGTCAAAACTTCCAAACCTGCCAAAAGGCCGTATGTGACCAGTCGCAGGTTGATATCCCTTGAGTTCCTGGTCACATATTTCCCTCTTCTTTTTCAGTTACCTAGGCTCCCACGGTATGGCATCGGAAAGTGTCAACCACTATCACAACTTCTATAAGCACTCAGGTTGCCTAAGATCACAGTCCATCTTTCACATTTTTAACTTCTGATATTCTTTCACCTCTGCCTTTTGGTCAATAATCCTGCATCACTTTAATTTGCTCCAGGTCGTGAAGCTGCGCTATAAACTAAACATTGAATGCTTTCAATGTGGACACTATCCATCAAATCAAGCAACAAGGTTCATTAGTCAAAATTCTAGCAACTCAGATCATGAATGTGTGCTATGTTTGTGAGATATGCATACAGAACCCAAGTGTGGCTATTCAATTAACCTTTCCTGGCCAATTTGGTGACATCCACCCTGAAAATTTCGATAGTCAGTCCTCGTGGTCTTACCGGCGTTAGTATGATATTGAGCGCTAAGGCAGATTGTTTACTGCACCACTGGATCCCAGTTACTTATGCGCTGTTCAACTGAACAGCATAATAATGAAAGTCGCTGTTATCTCATTGTAATAGCTAGTTATTTATCCACTGAAAGCTGTCTAGCCTCCTACTTAAAACTAAACGTGGTTGTTATTGTTGTAGGTGATTCAGTATACAAGTTGGTAGGTAGAAAGGTACTTAGATGAGATGATTTCGGAACCCTAGCCAACTAGTCATCTTGGTGGAACATTGTTACTTGATATCGGGAAGTTGAAGTATGTTATTATTATTATTATTAGTCCCTTGGGTTCCTAGTGGAAGTTGTCTGTAGAAATCCTCCTTTTTCTCTTGCTCTGCATTATTTGTAGGTGCATAGTGTAGCATTGTATGATTGTGACCTTTCTTCCTTTTGAGTTGAATCTTGCTGTCATGATCCTGCAGGAGGAGATTGGTTCCCACTGCATGAGAGCCTTCGATGCTCTTGAGGACATCATGATAGCCACTCCCTCAGTGTGCTCGTGGTTGGCGTCTGGGTGACCGGAGTAGATTACTGATTCTCCAGTTGACAGTTTGGAGAGTCCACTCCCATTCCATCTGCTTTCGCAAATCCCAAGCACTTCGATGTGATACCTTCTCATCTCTTTGCAATCTGGGCTGCCTTACTGGGTTCAAACATCGTACGGACATTCCATGTCCCCACGTTTACTTTCGCTTTCATCAAGGGAGAGAAGACACATCGGCCAATTGGCTTCCCGAAGGCTTTCACCAACTGGCGTCATTTCGCCTCTCCGATTCCAGCGGGGAATAATTTTGTTTTCATTTTTTATATTTTGTTTGTGCTTTGAAGTTTCTTTAGCGGTTAGATTTGTTTTACGGGGTAAGGTTGCTAGCCCTATGCCCAACCTTCCCTCTTTACCCGGGCTTAGGACCGGCTAGTAACTAGTAAACTAGTTAACCAGGTGAGGTTTGAAGTATGTTAACTTGACTAGATATTCATCTATTCACTAATAAAGCAAGTGATTGGTTCGAACCCAATTCCATCTACAAGAATAGAACAATAAACAATGTATAGATAGATGTATCTGGAACATTCAGATTAATTCTCAGGCAATCATTGATATAAATCGTCACATTGAATCCAACACTTCCTTGTATGATCGAAACAAACAGACTTCTTGAACTAATAGCAATCTGTTCGCTTAAACCTACTTCAGCTAACATTATGAATGTATCAAACTGACCTGAAACCATTCGCTTAGTTTCCATGTTACGTTGATTAAAAAACTTGAAATATCCACATGTCCTGTAAGTTGTTAGTTCGAATCCATTCCAACAAGTGTTAAAATTCTAAAGCAACATGACAAATTTGAATTGATACTTTAGATATTAGCTTAACGATTTAACTTTCAACTGATGAAAATAGATAGATTATGGATTCGAAGGGATATGGTTTTGAAGAGTCTACTGTACACATAATAGTTGTTGAATGCTTCAATCTATCAAATTTAATCAGCTCATATTCTGTATACTTTCAGTATTCAGGTATCAATATTGGTACAGTGCATAAAAAAGATGTCATGAAAGCTTCAGTAATGTGTGAACGTGAACCAAAATGGGCTGTAATATTGGCATTTGATGTACGCGTTGATAAAGATGCTCAAAAGTTGGCTAGTCAATTGAATGTGAAAATTTTCACCTCAGAGATTATTTATCGTTTACAAACTCAAATGGAAAAGTATATGTAAGCAAGTTGAGCTTTTCTTTTTCGATTTCAACCGTTATGTTTTTCTTTTTTCTTTCTTCTCTTAATGAAATCGAAACTGTAAATGAAATTGTCGTTATTGAAAGCTGTCTACTCGAACACTTGTGGGTGTGTGTTACAGCCTATGGCGAGTTGTCCAGGGAGCTATACTCATCAAGTGATGTCCGTCAAGGATGCCGACTATCCCCATTCTTATTTAAATTTATCATAGATGCTGACTGATGAGATGCAGAGACTTCTGAACACTTTGAGTGGGAATTTGAGAATGTTTAGGATGCGATTTTCACCACACAAATGCAAATTTTTGCTCCAGGACTGGTCTTCAGCGGTTCCTTGGCTAACAATAGAGAGTGGGTGTTGTGGTTGAGTGTGTTGACCACTTCACTTACCTGGGAAGTAGAATCAACCCTGCCGTGGTGGGTTAGTTGCCGATGAGATTTCTGCACGGATACAAAAGGCTGGATTGGCTTTTGCCAATTTGCGCCACCTATGGTGCCGCCGTGATATTCGTTTGTCTATTAAGGGTGGCGTGTACTGCACAGCAGTCCGGTCTGTTCTACTATATGGCTGTGAAACATGGCCATTGAAAGTGGAGGATACAAAGAGGCTTGAGGTGTTTGACCACCGTTGCCTTCGTAATATAGGACTTATTCCGTGGTGTCACCACACCACGTGAGTAATGCAGAAGTCAGGTGTAGAGTTTAAGGGAGGGAGAAGAGGTAAGTCATTTGACGAGGTTGTGAACCTTCATCGACTGAGATGGTTGGGACACGTACTACGTATGCCTAGTCACCGATTGCGTCGTCACACAATGTTGGCTGGGGTGGGTCCAGGCTGGAAAAAGGCTGGAGGTGGCCAGACTAAAACATGGCACCAATGTATGAAGTCTCTGACTGTTGGTTTAAGCGATGTGGGGAGATGCAGACTAGGTGGTTGTGGTCGGTGGGACAAGAGGAACCGGTGGTTGTAGACCCAGGTGATATGGGTGAGAACCGAAGTCAGTGGCGCAGATGTACACCCACACACATTATCCTCATCTTAACAAGGCTATACTGAATCTCACTATTTTGTCACTCCTCTTTCTTTTCTTTTCGTACTTTATATTTCTTTTGACTGCATTCACTTCATCTTCATCCTTCACCTTACTACCTTTTTACTTGATGTAGTGATATGATGAGGTGTGTCAAGTTGGAGGGTTACGCAGTAATGCCTGGTCCTATGTTGATAATGATGATGATGATGATGAAGCGAAATTGTTACTGGTAGACGTTGTATTGTCACACTAGCCATCATAATCCGTTTTTGTGATGACAATGAGTAGTGTTTAGTTGCAGCGTATACGAATAACAATCACGACTAACAAAATCAACCGACCACCTTTCATACACGGGTGAATCAGCTCAAATTGCGAATAGCGACTGTTCTTCGTCATGAACTATAAAACTCAGAACACAAACACCGGTCATTGGCTGTACAAGTTTACCAGAACATTCAAAAGTTGAATGGCTTGTTCTGATGGATTAATCATAGGACGAAATTGTCCAATCAGGTTTTTCCTGACCACACTGTAACATGAACTTCTGCCTTAGTAGCTGATGACCTGAAATGTTTATTTCCATTCATACATCATGTGTTATTTCTTAAATTTTGAACAGTTTTCAATATATTGACTGAATAAGGCGAGATATCTAGTAAGTAGTTTTAATCTGATTAGATGTAACTGTTTCACGTGGAGATTAACAGAAGCTAATTTGTGTGCACTAGCTTAATCAACGCCATTCATTTGAGAGTCATGTTCGATTCCATGATACACTGCTAAAACGAAAACTCTTGTTACTAGGTGATGATTGAAGATGAAAGGGAACTTTGAACCGCTGTCGGATTCGAACCGGCAACGACCAGGTTTCTAATTCCATGTTCTACCAACTGAGCTACGAAGTCCCGCTACCATGTGAATTCGTAACGCGTCATTATCGCTTGATTGTACTCGCACTATCTGCGTAGTCAAGTCACTCAGTGGCCGCTGGTTCGAGCCCGGCTGCTGTCCATCTGCAGTCATCACCTGGTAACAATACTAGTCTGTCAAATTACGGCTGCTATTCTATATAGTTAGAATGATAATAAATGTGATGCTCCCGTTCTCTAATTCAGTCAAGTTTGGATGAGGATGAGAAGTCCTGACTAGGCAGCCAATTTGAATATTATCAAGCGATTGTAACGTGTCACGAATTCACATGGTAGTCGGTCGGTGATTGAAATGAAATCTGGTCAGCAGTTGGACCTCGTAGCTCAGTTCGTAAAACATTGAGCCGGTAACCCATTGGTCGCTAGTTCGAACCCGGCCACGGTTCAAATTTTCAGTCATCACCCAGTATCAGCAATACTAGTCTGTCAAACTACAGCTACCATCTTAGATAATCAAAATGGTGACTGTTCTATCCATGTAAAGTTTACTATGAACAATGAGGCAACATTGTGAAAGTAATTCGATCAAGTTCTCTGGCATACGCTGGTTGTTTCATGCATTAGCGGGTTAATGATCCGATCTGGTCCCCTAAACTGATTTTTTTATCATTTTTATTTACATATAGGGAGGATTTAAAGACTGGTAATCAACGTAAACATCGTGATCTAGCTGTATTCCCGTGTAAATTACGTATCCTGCCTGAAATGATATTCAATAAACGTGCACCAATTGTTATCGGTGTTCGTGTTGAAGCTGGTGTAGTACGTGTCGGTACACCAATATGTGTACCTAGTCGTGAATGTGTCAATTTAGGACGTGTCTTCTCAATTGAATCTAATCATAAACCTGTTGAAGAAGCGCGTACTGGAATGGAGGTTTGTGTACGCATTGATCCAGCTGATGGGGAAACACCGAAACTGTATGGTCGTCATTTTGATCTCAATGATTTGCTAGTATCAAAGGTAATTAATCATCGTTTATTTTTCATTCCTACAGCCCACCACCACCACCTTACGGGTTAACAATAGCGACACAATAAAAATGCGGAGATAGGGCTTAAATAAACGAGAGAATTACATTCATTGACCATTGGAGAATAACTAATCTGCGCATGAAACGTGATCCTAGAAGAGGTCATCCACCAAATGAATAGCTCTTCCGCGACGGTTACCGTCTTGATCTAGCCACCATGAAGCCTCTTTTAACTTAATCTAACTTCCCCTAGCATGATATACACCTGACTTCAACATTGTTAACTGGATTTCGCAGGTTTGTATTTCTAAGGGCACATCAACTGCTTTAAGGTTACAGACGTGCCTTACTGATGAAAACCAGCACGCGGGGCTTATTTTCCTATTGGTTGTTCTTTTCCGTTCGCCTCAAGGGTATCCCATTGTATATAAACACATAAACTTCGCCTGTCCATCACTGAAGTAAGCAGACCTCGATCGAGTACTGTCGTCTTCCTCGAGTTGTCGGGTATCATATATTTAGTTCATTCAGTGTATCCAGACTAACCGTCCTTAGTTAAGTTATAGTCACTGAATTGTAACAGTATACTAGGCTATAAGGGCATGCTCATCGGCCAAGGCCGAAGTGATTGAAGCAAGATTTGAGCCCTATACCTTTCTACTTTACAGTCGAATGGTGAATCCTATATGTAGACCGCTGCAGTCGGTATCAAAAAGGCATTCATATATTGGATGACAACTACCATCTTGCCTTGTCTAGAACAGTGATTTTTCTACCTCCTAGAATCTAACTCTCTGTATTATCTCCTAAGTCGTTTATACACATCAGACTGTCAATCTCACCTTATCATTTTCACGATAATACTTCACATGAAAATAGTAGATAATTACTCCCTTGATAGAGTAGCACATAGAAAGAGGAATAGTGAACTCTGCCAACCGTAGCCTAGAAAATGACATCTTCAATGTAAAATGTGTGTAGAATTGGTCAGCTTCTGTTAGAATATAAGCTGTTCTGTGAATGCCTTGACATAGGCAGCTGACGAGTCCCAAATAGGATGAAACGTGTAATGTTTATTGGTTTAGTAGACGAATGTAAAGTGGTTTTTTTTCCTCCTCATTATAGATTAGTCGAGAAAGCATTGATGTGATGAAGGAATACTTTCGTTCAGATTTGAAGAAAGAAGATTGGAAGCTAATGATTGAATTAAAGGAGACATTGGATATCTCATAGTTCACCGTTTGTTGTATGATGTTTTGTTAAACACCCCCTAGACCCACCCCTTCCTATTGTGTCAATTTGTTTTACTGACAATTCTCTACGGCCTTTTTTCATGTTTTGATCTTTCTCTATTCATTCTAATGTTGTTAAACTTGTTCCACCAGCTTGTTGAAGGTTCCACTTGATTACTTGGCATAACTGTGGGCACCATGTTTACCTCTTGGACATTGAATAGGTGTTTATTCAAAGTACTACCATTACTATTAGTTGGTTGGTTTTGCTCTTGTGTATAGAAGTTATATCCATATAATATATATATATATATATATATATATATATATATATATATATATATATATATATATATATATATATATATATATATATATATATATATATATATATATAGCTGTGTATATTATACAATAGTTATATACATACTTGCATATAATGTGATTTGTAACAATGAGTCAATGACACTTTTGGTCTTTTCTGGTCGCCTTCAATACAAAGGAAACGGATATGGAGATGAGTAGAGTTGTTGTTCATACTTGAGTTTATATACTACTGAGCGAAATGAGTAGTAGTTCGGAAGCTAATCATGTTGGTTTATGCAGTTGACTTTCCGAGCAACGCTCCATTCGTTGAGATATGGGCATAAAATCAGGTCTAGTGTTGTCTCCCCTCACATATTGATTGCGATGTGACTTATAATGATCCATAGACTGAAAGACTATTTTTCCACGTTTAAGGTCGATGTGATTAGTCGTGTGTACCTGAGAATAAATTCCGTTCACATAGCTGAATTGTTGAAGTCTAGAGCATCTGATTTGGATGGATTCGATACGATCAACAGGCTGGAAAAAGGGTGGAGGTGGCCAGACTAAAACATGGCACCAATGTATGAAGTCTCTGACTGTTGGTTTAAGCCATGTAGGACGATGCAGACTAGGTGTTTGGGGTTGGCGGGACAAGAGGAACCGGTGGTTGGAGACTAGGTGATATGGGTGAGAACCAAAGTCAGTGGCGCAGATGTATACACACATTATCCTCATCATAACAACGCTGTACCGAATCTCACCATTTTGTCACTCCTCTTTCCTTTCTTCTCGTACTTTATATTTCTTTTGACTGCATTCACTTCATCTTCATCCTTCACCTCACTACCTTTTTACTTGATGTGCTGATATGAGGTGTGGCAAGTTGGAGGGTTACGCAGTAATGCGTGGTCCTATGTTGATAATGATGATTGAGATAATTACTTACAAATCACGCGGTTCATAATAGCTTTTCTTTTATCTGGATAGCACTTACTACTTTAAATGAAGGTTCTTGAAGATCAATACGAACAATGTAAAATCTACTGGCATTAATGATGGATACTGGCTAGCAGTGAAATCCCAGATGCTCGTTTCCCTCTACTTAAGACTCGCTAGCCAGTGAGTGTTGTTCCTGCCGGGACTCGAATCCGGGACCATATGCCAATAGAGATCGATCAATTCGGTCCATTCAATGTTGGGATAATACGAGCAACAACATAAAATTATAACCATCGCATGAGAAGTGATTATCGGTAGTCTAGTGGATAATACTCTGGCGTTTGAAGCGATCGGTCTCGAGTTCGAATCCCGGTGGAACACCGGGAGGCCAGTACATCCAGCTGACGAATGCGTCCCAAATACCACGAAATGCATATCCTGAATTCCACTGCTAGTCGCTATCCATCATTAATGTATAATTCAAATATAGGCAATATTGAGTCATCCGCTGAATTCGATCCAATCAACGACAGAATTATGCAAGCAACAACACTAATTTACTAGTATGTTTATTCACTGGGAGTCATCTGTTTGTACTTCGGTGTTGATGTGCTATTCCTTTATCATCACATCACATAGCATTCTGTTTTAAGGGAGTATACAACTTCATTGTTCTGTAATCGTGGTGTGTCGGTGTTTTACTATCATGGTGTATCTTGATGTAAGACTTGAATGCAGAGTTGTTTGCTTGGAACTCTACACCGCGTTATCAATCAGACTATTCAGTGATGAGTTTAAATCTGACTGATGAATGAAACTCACATTGAATTCCACACTACGCGAGTCGCTCTAAACAAAAGCGAAATTGAAGAAGTTCATATGTTAACTAAAACCAGTCGATTCTATGTAGTATTATGATTACATCATTGAAATACAACAGGAGGTTACCGAGATGGAATGGAAATAAAACAGAATTGGATTATTGAAGAAGTATACCACACTTTTCAACAATAAGAAAACTACAACAATAATGATTGCCATTGCTCAAGATTCTAAGCTATCATCTCAGATCATTGAGCTACACGATCTCTTGGACCCCATCGAGGAAGTTATGAATTACCTACAGGTGCTAACCCCACATAATTATCGTATGATGACAGGTAATACACTGTATCAATGAAATTATGTCTTCTTTCGGTGAAAAATATACTGATATGCTTAAAGTATAAATCCAAGAAATATACTTTTGAATAATGCGTATAACAGTTACCCTAAATTGATCAGATCCACCTGGAAGTAGAAAGCAGAGTGGTTTAGATCAATCGGATCTGACTGGTTACTGATGAAATATCAGCTTCAATACAGAAGTCCTATTTGGCATTTACTAACTTGCATCATTTGTGGCGCAGACTAATGAGATGCACAAGTATCTATCGAAAGATATATATACTGCGCTACAGTTTGTTTTGTCCTGTTGTTCGGTTGTGAGACAAGGCCATTCAAAGTAGAAGACATGAAGCCCTCACTAGGTTTTGATCATAGGTGTCTTCGAAGCATTTCTTGCGTTTGGTGCAATAACTATGTGTATTAGGCGAGAGAGGCAAGTCGATTGATGAGGTTGTGAACTTTAGATGGCTTGAACATGTATTGCACATGCCGAGCCGCCGCCACCTACCTTGATATGTCATGATGGTTTAGGTTGGATGTCCGGACGAAGACTTAACAGCAGTTGATAAGATCTTCCACGGTTGGTCTGAGTTGTGTTGGGAGATGTAGACTGCCTCGTTATGGTCCCCAACACGAACGGAATCATCGGTTGAGAACCGATTCTTGGTGACATGACTGGAAATCCATCACGATCGTGTGGTGTAATTTGCTACACTAGGATGGGAGTCTGAGGGCTAAGTCGTACTGCTGCCAGCTGGATGGGATGTGATATCAGTAAGGTGTTTCCCTTGGATGACTAGCAGTGCTGATGCTGCCTCCACAGTGGAAGCGGCGGGGGGTGGGTTAGAAAAGGTCGGCCCCAAAAATGATACACTCCACCATGCCCCACGGTCTGCCGTGCCGGCGGTGTTGGTTCGTTTGTCGTCTCCTTTCGACCATTCAGCCCCAAAAATACAAAAGTTCAAAATAATCATACTCAAAAGGCTGGGTGTGACAGACCTCAAGCAGATGTCCGATGGGCTCTGCGGTGACACAAATCTCTTTCAGGTACCTTAAGAAGAAATAGCCTTCCACGGTGTGGGCAGCCGGTAAGTGTCAACTGCCCTAACAACCCCGTCAGCACTCAAGATCCATTCACTGCGTGAAATCTTCTGAAGCTTGAGTATTCTCAGTAACCTTTACCTTCAGAGTGTGTATTCTGTCACACTACTTTACCTTCTTTGATATCACACCTTTTCTAACCGTCAGTTGGTTTTGTATTTGCGTGAGATGTGACGATTTGAGCTGATACAATCTTGTGCTACTATGATCCTGAAATGATGGAGAATATTTGTAGCTCAGGTGGATGGTCTTGGTTGTATTGTGTTCTCTGAGCTGGGTTGTTTAATCGTGAAGCTTTCATCGCCTTGCTAGACGACATCATCAGCACTAACTTCAGTAAACCAAAATCTTGTCCTAGGATTCTACTTTGATTTTGTCGGTCACAGAGGTCCTACAACTAGATTTTGGCATGATTAGGATTCATCACTAAAGCTAATGTGCAACCTCAAGGAAACGGTCCCCATGGAAAGCGGAAACTGAATGATCTAGTCCTGTAGTTACCAGTTAACTGTTCAAGCCGCAACTGACCTGATCAAGCTGATACCTGTCTAGTTATTCAGAAGTGTAAATTTTCCAATTGGATAGAAAACCAATCACAAGTTCATATCTTTGAAGCGGACATTCTTTTTCTCGAGGCAACAGACACAAAATCTAAGTTCAGTGGAGCTTCTTGTCAACTGACTCCAAGCATATAAAACTGACCAAATATTATCGTGATACTGAATCTCCTAGACTGATGACAAAATTTCAAAATAATCGACAGAATCCGATACGTGCTTAGGAATGAACAAGGCGAGATTGGTTACCGTCCAATGACCAGTCAACGTATAATTTTTTATCTATCATTAGGCTGCTAATGTTGCTTTCTCTGTGGTTGGGACTTTTAAGAAGCACTGACAATCCATTCAATTATTCCCCTGCCATCGATGGTCGACAGTACACATTCTGAGAGACAGTTCGTAGTCCTGTTACCCTTGTTTCATTCATTTGTGTATATTATCTGTTTATTAAGTTTCAAAAATACCCAATTAGGACATAGCTGAAGATATCATCTTCGATGTTTGATAGGAAATGACCGAAATTAACATTCTAAGTCATCAGCCACCAATGTCGAAGTTTTCAACTTCAACCTTGATTTCATGTTAATGCGTGGGTAGAGAAATTAAATTTGTCTACCTTACAGTTATATGCTGGTCTATGTCTTCTGGTTTCTACAACTCAATGAAGTACTATATCTTAGGGAGTAAATTCTCATTTTCATACCCACTTCAAATATCTTATTGCGTTAGTGGAGTTCGCGTGTCATATAATCTCCTATCAGTCACCTCCACTTGACGACTTCAGTGTTTTCATTCTATGTAGCTGTACAACCAAAATTTCATACAGTTTTTTCTAGTATATTGGATACTTACGCTTACGAACAAAGATCAAGTTGAATGAAGCTCAAAAACTGAAATTCGATCATCTTAGGTGAAGATTATTCACAAAGCAGCATTGAAACTAAGTGAAAACGAAGTTGCTTTATTAAGTTATGTCATACAAAGTAACAAAACGGTGAATATTAGTGGGTAGAGGCTTGGCATTAGTAAATGTCGAATAGGGCTTTCTTGTTCGAGCTGAGATTTCGTCAGCAAACCAGCTCGTTCGGAGTGATGCAACTCCATAAGTAAGTGAAATGGTCGATGCATTCAACTACTTCACTTGATTTCCTTATACTGTGGGTGGGTGCAGACCAGTCTTGAAGCGTCATTTTACACTTGAAAGGTGTGAAATTCATGCTAAATATACTAA